CGCGCAGCACATGCATGTCGCATCAGTCAATTGGGTCAAGCAAGTCCAAGCGAGCGAGCGATTCGTGGCGGATTGGGGCCGACCTACTCGTAGTCGAGGCTCTCGATGGGGCAGCTATAGATGGGCAACGGGCTGGCCCGGCCCAACATGGCATAGGCCCCGCTCGGCTCCCAGGCGTCGCCGTCCTCCCTCCACGCCGACATCCTCCAAGAATCGGTCAGGATCCGTCCTCTCCGACCTCTCCTCGGCGTCAAGCGCGTCGGCCTCAAGCTGCGGTGGCGGCACCCTCTTGGCCTCCCTTTCCCTCTCTGCTCTCTCTCTCTCTCGGTAGTGGGCCACGGGCCGGCCTGGCCTGCTAGGCTGGCCGTGCTTTTTGGGCTAGCACGGCACGAAAAAATGGCCCAGAGGGCCGTGCCTGGGTCATCGACCAGGCATGAATCCCATGGAGGCATGGCACGCCACCGCGTCGGGCTCTGCCCTGCTGTGCCTGGTCAGGCCATGCCTGGCCAGCCAGGCCCGTTGCCCATCTATAGCTGTCCGATCGAGAGCCTCGACTATGAGTAGGCCCGCCCCCAATCTACCACGAATCGCTCGCTCGCCACGGCATGGCATTTCTCAATCAGCCTGCATGGGGCCTAGGCGCGCAGCACACGCATGTCGCATCTGTTAATTGGGTCAAGCAAGTCCGAGCGAGAGAGCGATTCACGGTGGATTGAGGGCGGGCCTACTCGTAGTCGAGGCTCTCGATGGGGAAGACTATATATCGCATGTAGCCCGAGGCACGGTGGCCCGCCCATATATGGGCATGTAGCCCGGGGCACGGCGGCTTGGCACGAGCACGGCCCAGCCCGTTGGAGCAGGCCATGCCTTGGCCGCTACTCAGGCACGACGGGCGGCATGGCCCTGCATGACATTTATAAAAAGGCCCGATGGCGGCCCTGTGATCTCCACGGCCTGCTAAGAGCCCACCCTATTCCCTCACCCTAAGCTCACTGCTAACTCATTTCCCCCTCACCCCTTCCCCCTGCCGCACTCCCTCTCGTGTAGTCACGCTCGCGATCGCGACTCATGAGTCGCTCGCACTCCCCTCCCGCTCGTGGCTCCACACCACCGCACGTCCACACCCCCAGCCGCCTCCTCCATGCCCTCTCTCGTGCAACCGCATAGCCGAGATGGCTTCCAGCACAGCGGTGACAACACACTGGCTTCCAGCGCGGCGGATCCCATCCCTCTTCTGAGTCTCCTCTGTGATGCCGCCTGGCTCCCAGGCGCTGCCGTCCTCGCTCCACGTTGCAATGCCGCCCGACTCCCAGGCGCCACCGTCCTCCCTCCACGCCGGCATCTTCCATGGATCCGGTCTAGATCCGTCCTCTCCTACCTCTCCTCGGTGTCGAGCGCGCCGGCCTCAAGCGACGGCGGCGACGCCCTCCTAGCCTCCCTTTCCCTCTCTCTCTCTCTCTCTCTCTGTTGGCAGTGGGCCACGGGCCAGCCTGGCCTGCTAGGCTGGCCGTGCTTTTTGGGTAGGCACGGCACGAAAAACAGCCTAGAGGAACATGCCTGGGCTGTCGGCCAGGCACGAAGCCCATGGAGGCATGGCCCGGCGACACGTCGGGCCGTGCCGGGCCGTGCCGGCCCATTGCCCATCTATAGCAGACATCGGCACCGACGAGTGCGACCTGGGAGGTGGTGTTAGACTGCGTGTGGCTGCCGTGGAGGAACCGCCGCCGGCGCGGGCACTGCTCGTCGCCGCCGCCGCCGCCATCCTCGAGCGCTTGGTCCAGGAGGAAGGACGAGCCGGAGGAGACCAGCAGCGGGGCCTCGATGTCAGCATCCGGATCCGCTGCGCCGCCATCGCCGCCGCTGAGGCCGTCCTCCTTGGGGTCCCTCGGCGCCATCGCCTCGGCCACTCCGCTGTTCCTGCACGCCGCCACTGCCTGCCGCCACTCACAGCACACCCGAGGCCGATGGACCGACTGACATAAGCAGATGGGAAGTGGTGCTGCTGGGTTTAGTAACAATAGAGCAGAAAGGACAGACTCCCGGTCCCGGCACAGAAAGATTGTTATCGATGTGAGACTGCCTGTGGGGTCACGAATAGGTGGCTCCTACATGGGTGTGACGGTGGCAATCAAAGTGCCGCGTGGGCCACCGAGTTCGGAAACGGTTGGGCCGCGTCACCGACACACCCTCCGATGGCAACACGGGCGCAACACTGCACGACGGAGCCGAGGAGCGGGACAAGATCTCGCGGCGGCGTTACCGTCCGAAAGCTGTGTGCGCCCCGTCGTATAGCGCTTTGTCCTGGCCTGGCCGACGACGGCATCTCATATCTCACCGATCTCGGCAGCAGCTACGTTCGTGTTCCTTTTCCGCGTCTCCTCCGTTCTATCCTGCCCATAAATAAATTATGGGCATTCGATGGAGATGTTCTTTAAATTATCGTAGACTCAGTGCAACAAGCCTCTGAAAAAGCAACAGATCAAAGGCTAGAGATGTTGCTTTTTCAGAGGCTTATCGCACTACATTCGTGTGACACCGCAACCCGGGCACAACCGAGGTCGAGGGAAGATCTAGAGGGGCCCGACGACATGTGTGGCTACGGTCTCTTGACCCACTCTATACGAAGCAGGGGTAGCGGAAGATTCTGAAGAGCACCCACTCTCGGTGACAATCCGATTGGGCCGAGAATCATTGGCGCGGTGGATGAGGAGCACCTTTGGCGAGGAGGTGACATGGATGAGGTAGACCTTAGGACTCATCCTTGTCTCCTGATATCTCCCTCTCGTCACTAGGTTCAGATCCAGCTGGCGCAGATGATGACGCGATATAGAGCTTGGTGCGGATCCTGGACAGGGTCAGCAATGGTGTCCTTGGTGGCATCAACGGGCTCAACGGATGAGGATGGGGTCGGCGACAAGGAGGGAGAGGACGACGCAGTGGTAAGGAGGCAGGGAATGACAGCTGCATGCTAGAGATCGAGACTCGGCCCTGTTGGACACTAGGGCTGGGCTTTTTTATTTTTATTTGGATTAACACAGGCAGGCATTTACAACTGTCTCCGTAAATTACGATTTACAGTGACGTTTGAGCAGCTGTGATGTCCGTCTCTCTTAATGAGTTTTGACCACCTCTAAAACTGTGTTTCGGTTAACGATATAGATATTTAAGCCATGTATATTTATTTTAAAACTAGGATCCAACTTAGGTACTGGAGTTGGAGTTATGTCAAAAATGCACTATGTGCAGAAATTTAATAGAATTTCCTTTTTCGAGCGGGAAACAAATTCGCAAAACGAAATAGTTGCTGAGTTGCACACCTGCACGCGCGCGCACGGACGACATTCAGAACAAATATATAAGTAGAAGAACCACACAGCTGGCTGTTATCTGTTCTTTATGGGGTCCTGCATCCCTGACCGTGAAACCTTTTTTTTTTTGTGTGCAAATGGAGCAAAGTCAAAGCTCCGAAGCATGCCCGAGATTTTGACTTGCGTATTTTAGTGCCAAACCAGTTAGCCTTTGTTTATGTTTAGTTCTTTAAGGTTACTATTTGCTTTACACCTCGATCCATGAAATTTTTGATGCCATTTCGAGACATTTGATTGTTAAAATATTTTCAACACTTGGGGAATTCGTTCTCGCTTCGAGAAGTCAACTTTTTTAATTTCGACCAATTATAATACAGTTATTTTTTACATGCATGTGGCCTCGTGGAGTCGACCAATTGATTGTTAAATGTTGCACGTATTTTTACAAACCTAGTCAAATTTGAAAAGTTTGACCTGCACACATCCCATAACGACTTAGTGTTTTTGAGGCGAGGAAGTATATGCTAATGGAAGTAATCAACTGAAAGTCGTGATGAACACAACAATACTTTTATATTATATGTTAATTAGAGCACAAAAACGCATTGGACCTATATACGAATGGTAGGAATATTCGCTTAGAAAATTATAGAAGGTTCACCGTCTCACCATGTATAACATACACATCTTTTATTTGGCACCATGTTCTCAAGGAGCATCCACTTTTTAATTTCAGGTGTCCAGATCTACAATTAGTTTTTCTTGTTTTCCTTCAAAGCTCTATTTAATCGCCTTTAATGGCTCCATGCGGGCCATGATTATTGTTTTCTTCCATGCATGTGTGGCTCAAGTGATTCTTCAAAGCAGCGAGGATCAAGGATGACTGGTATCGCAACACCAAACAATTTTAATCCTTTTAGTCGTAGCAGATTTCCTTTTTCGAGCGGGAATTTGGCAAAACGAAATGGTTGCGAAAGTAAACAAGGCGTTAAAGGCTAAAGTCGACGCGTACTATGCATTACATGCAAGGTCAACGGAATGAGAAATCAATGCAAGTGTTATATTTTGGCGCAGTACGTAATCCGTTTTTCTTTCTCTTCCATTGTTTCAGTCAACATGCATTTTAGTAACTGCCATTACTATACTACTCCGTTACAGATGTTTAATTTGGATATTATATCTCCCAGAACCTGACACACCCTGCATTGCTGGATGGCTGCCACTGGAACACGTACGCAGGCCGCAGTCAAACCTCTCTAGCCGTAAGAGCAATTCAAGTTGACAAATTACCCTGCACGTACGGGAGTGACTCCTCCACCGTCCGTTTCACTGCACCCACGCACGCATGCAATTATGTTTGCAGAAACCCTGCCGTTCCCTCCCCTCAGAACCTCTCAGTCTCACGCTCCTCTCCTCCCACTGCAGACTTCTGCTATATAACATCCCTTGCAGTCACCACCCAACCCCAAGCTGACCACACTTCACTGCTACTACCTCCTGCAGGCTGCAGCACACGCTAAACTAGTATAGCACCAGTGACCACACCACACTAGCGGCGTAGGAGCAGGTGCACGCGCACGGCGGGCGCTAGGTCGTGTACGGCGCAGGAAGAAGGTTTTCATCGTGTCTTCGTCTGTTCGTCGTCACTCGATCGACAGTTGAGGAGTGTTTAGATGGCACGTACGTGTTGACATGTACAACCGGGAGCAGCCGCCGCCGCCGCAGGCCCAGCAGCAGCTCATGGCGCCGCCGCGGATGTCCTTCTCCAGCGACTTCGCGCTGGAGCCGCCGCCGCCGCCGAGGCCGCCGGGCCGCGCGGACGCGGACTTCGAGTTCTCGCCGGCGGGCAACCGGCCCATGATGGACGCGGACCAGCTCTTCTCCAAGGGCCGCATCCTGCCGCTGCGGGAGGCCGCGCCGCGGCCACCGACGACCCTGCGCGACGAGCTGCGCGCGGCGCCGGACGCCGCCGACCGCGGCCGCCGCGGGCCTGCACGGTGGAAGGAGCTGCTGGGGCTGAAGAGCCGGGCGCACGCGCAGAAGAAGGGGGCCGCCGGGGCAGCAGCCGCGTCCGCCGCTGACGCTCACGTGGTAATAATAACGCACTGACCACCACCATGCACGGCATGCATTTTAGTATTGCCTTTGACTTGCACATGGACTTGTGGGATCTCCATCTCCTTTCATTTCGAGGTGATTCTGCGCCTTCCACGCAGACAGATACAGTGCATGGCGCCCTCGCTTGTCGAGCACTGGCACTTTTAGTTTAACTTTCCACAGTATTTTTTTTTTACTGACAGCATGTGTACTCTTCTCAGGATCTTGGAGAGCACGGAGAGGCAGGAGAGTGAATCCACAGATGACCACCACTTGCATTTGGTTAGTGCGGCACGAAACTGGAGCATGACAAAATTTGGTGTTGCAGAGTTGTAGCGTTCACAGTTCACCAATTGGTGTTCCTTCCACCCCCCTTTTGGGGTGGAATGAGACATTGAGACTGTTTTCAGGTAGCCGCGTCGTACTATTTTCCCTCATTTGATTTTGGAGGGTCAACGATAGTATTTTTTTTGTCGGCAGCTGTAGTTGGTTGGATTAGTAGTTTCGTTTGTGCTTCTCCCTCAACCTGTACAAATGCGATGCCTGTACCTTTTGGATTCAGTGAAAAAAAAGTGATGGAAAATGGGTAATTTAAGTGTTTAATCTACCCGTTATTTATGAAATTGTGCTTCCATGCTACTACTAACAAGTACGTTCATGCGTTGTAACAGGATATATAGTAGCTTGTTGCGTGGTTATCTGGAGCAATCCTTGTTAATGATAATTAATGAGCTAGCTATCTATGTGAATTTCATTGTGCATGGCCCAACCGTATTTTAAATAAATAAAATTAAAAAACTCTAATAAATGTTAGGTGCAATAAATGTTAATTAATACCGAATCAGAAATTGACTAGATAATGGCCCTATTCGCTTCTCTTATCATCCGTCTTTTTCAGCTTGTTTTTTCAGCCTGAACAGTGTTTTTCTCTCACAACAAATCAGCCGGAACAGTGTTTCGGCTTGTTTTTTCAGCGAAACGAACGGAGCCATTGACTCCGCTCAAATGAGTGGCCACTGCTACAAAAGTAGTTTTTTTTCCATTAGCATTTTCATCGTCGGTTTTATTAAAACCGTTGGTGATAATATATCACTACCGGTTCAGAATAAAACTGACGGTAAAACCGATTTTCACAGCTGGTAATTTGGAACAATTGTGTCCCAAACCGGCGGTAAAGATCGTGTTCACCAACCGTCTAGGAGAGGAGCCAGCGATGAAAGCGCTCGAACCAGGCCTCCGTGTCCGGTCATGTGACCCTCTCCCATTGTTTTATCAGACAGGTGGGCCTATGTGCTGACGTGTCACTCCGTGATTGGGACATAACAAATACGTCAAGGGTGGATGACAACTGGAGTTGGGGGTCATGGTAGACGGGGCGGCCAGGGCTGAGGTAGCGACAGATTGAGGGGCTAGTGTCAGGGCGGAGGTGGGTGGGATTACGGCGGATGGAGGTAGTAGTGTGGAAGAAGGATGACATGCGAATCCCGCTTGATGGACGTCTAAACACATCTCAAACAGTATTGTATCCTCGTTGTCCATACCCCCCATCCAAACACATAACAGATACGACAAGGGGCAGACCTAGGTAGTGCCGAGTGAGGGCACAGGCCACCTGTCGGTGTTTTATAAATCGGACTAAGTAAATTTATATGATTGCCGCGCTGCTCTAGAAAAAATCATTGTGTCTTGATTGTCTTCTTGGTATTCATTGGTATTCATTCTTGTGATTGATTGGCTCCTTTGGTGATTGGCTCATTCCTCTACATGGCGGTATAACACTCCATCCTTTCCGCACATTTACATTTCTTAGTGTAGCTTGGCCCTTTAGTGTAGCTAGTTTTGAGGGCAAGCAAGAGTCATGTCTAGTGGTTAGTGAGGCTCTTTAGTTAGTCTTTGAGAGCTCACCAATTTAGTATAGTAACATAGCCTTTGAGTGCTTATAGACAATAGCAACTAGAATTGTGGTAGGTGGCTTGCATTCTTAGTAGGCTAGTGCAACATTCGTTTCGCCTCATATTTGTCTAACCGCTTTGCATAGTGTTGTTGTAGACATTTTTATAGGCTATTCATCCCCCTCTAGCCATTAGGACCTTTCAAGTGGTATCAGAGCTGTGGTCACCGTGATTTGAGGCTTAACAACCTTTGGTGTCAAAATGGCTCAAATCAACAACACCAAAAAGCCACCCCAATTTGATGGCACAAATTATCCATATTGGAAGTCAAAGATGACCACTCATATTAAGTCAATCAATAGAAGAGTGTGGAAGGTGGTGGAGACCAAAATTGAGATAGCCGATCCGGAGAATGCCACCACAGCCGAAGAAGTGCTTCTCCAAAACAATGACATTTCTCTTAGTGCTATTCATGATGCTATTGATGAGAGAACATTTAAGCAAATCAAGAATATTGAGATGACTCATGAAGCTTGGAAGAAGTTAGAAGAATAATTTGAGAGCACCAAGGCAATAAAGGGTCCAAAGGCATATATTCTTAAGGAGAAATTTGCTAGCTTCAAGATGAAGGAAGATAAGAGTGTGCCGAACATGTTTCATCGAATGGAAGTGTTTGTCAATGATCTCAAAGCACTTGGTGAGAAGGTGGAGGACAAGGACTTCTCCCATAAGTTCTTGAGATGCTTACCCGCAAGATTTGGTATGTTGGGCACCTTGCTAGTGAGGACCCGTTTTGACACAATGACACCAAATCAAATCTTGGGAGATATTATGACCGATGATGCTTATAGAGATGATGTCGAGAAGGAAGAAAAGAACAAAGAGAAGAAGGATGAGAAGAAGAAGAGTATGGCATTCAAAGCCGATTCATCATCGAAGGGCAAGGTCAAGCAAGATACATCAAGTGAAAATGATAGTTCATGGGATGATGATGATGATGATGATGAGAAGATGGCTCTCTTTGTCAAGAGATTTGGCAAGTTCATGGTGAAGAAGGGCTACCATACTAGAAGGAAGAAGTCTTCATCCAAGAACAAGGAAGAATCAAGAAGGTGCTTCAAGTGTGGAAGCAAGGATCATCTTGTTGCTTAATGCCCATACAATAGCGACAATGATGGTGATGACAAGAAGAGCAAGAACAAGGAAAAAAAGGACAAGATTACATTCAAGAAGAAGAAGAAGGGTGGTTCATATGTGGTCACTTGGGATAGTGATGCTTCCTCAAGTGATGATGATGAAAGTGATGATGACAAGACCACCAAGAAGAAGGCTCTTGCAAGTATTGCCATAAAATGAGAAGCCTTCTCTCTTCGACACTTCATCATGCTTCATGGCTAAGGCCAGTAAGGTACAAACTTGTGATGATGGATGTGATGAGGAACATGATAATAAGAGTGAAAGTAAAAGTGACAAAGATGATGAACCAACTAAAGATGAACCGTTTGACATGTTAGATGATGCTAAGGAACATTTTGACATTAAGAGAAGGGAATGCAAAAGCTTGCATAAGAAACTAAAAGCCCTTAAGCAAGCCTTTGATGAGCTCAATGCATCTCAAGAAAGGCTAGAGAAAACCCATGAGGAGCTTGGCAAGGCTCACAAGAAGCTTGAAAAAGCTCATTCCTCTCTACTTAATGAGCAAAATGAGAAGGAACATGTTGTAACATATGACAAAGGCTTGACTTGTGATATAATTGATGAATCATTCTATAAGCCTATCATTGTTGCTCCCACACACCCTTCGTGTAGCACTTTCACTCCTACCTCATCTAGTAGTGATGGTTTCACTTGTGATGCCTCACTAATGGTTGAGAATGAGACACTCAAGAAGGAGGTAAAAGAGCTCAATCACACCTTGGCTAAGGCCTATGGTGGTGAGGACTGATTGCTTATGTGCTTGGGTAGCCAAAGAGCTTTTCTCTACAAAGAGGGATTAGGCTATACCCCCCAAGAAAGGCAAGACGGCCTTTGCTCCACATAAAACTAGTTTTGTGAAGAACAATGGTCGGTTTTACACTAGTTGCAAACAAGTTGGTCATGTAGAGCAAAAGTGCATGAAAAAGATGTCTCAATCCAATGTATCCTCAATCTACAGTGGCTAGAGGCCAAAATGCCTCCCCCCCAGAGGGGGTCAACCCGGGAGACTTTGAAGCGAATGATGCGAACACGGAGAGAGATGGTTATGTGGCTCTGCACCACCGATTAGAGCCGCAGGGACCCATCTTCTCCCTGCCCCTATCCCTTTTGTGGCCTCGTGCCTTTCTAAGGACTGGCCCAGAAGTGGATTCCTAAGTATGACATCGGGTCATGACCACGACCCGACTTCCCTACGCATGGGCTCGGGGGCTTTCGAGCCTCTTTCACCGGGATCATGATTTACCGACGTTCACTCGGTGCATGATCATGTGTGCGTTCTGCGGTCATGATGACCGTGGGTCGCTCTACGCGTGGATCTAGGGGGCGGTCAATCTCCTTGGATCCTTTGCGTCTTAATGGTGCCTTTGCGCATTACGGCTCATCGGCTCGTCTTCCGAGGGCTCATGGGGCCCGTATCAGGGCGGACTCTGCATGGGTGAGGTTCTCTTCCCTAATCGTCGCCACATAAATAGTTCCCTCTACTCGAGCTGACCTCTTACCTTGTTCTCGCCTCTTGCCGCCGTTCCTGTAGTTTTTGAAGGAAAAGCAGGAGGTGATGGGTGGAGTTCGTGCGATTTACCTTTAGATCATGTGTGCCGCTGCCGTCGTCATCTGCACTGCCACCTCTGCTTCTTCGTCTGCCTACGATGCAAGATGGGGGAGTGGATTCCTCCATCGGTGACGGAGGCAAAGTTGAAGTGCCTTGTGGTGAAGGGTCTTCTTCTACCGAAGGAGGGTGCTGGATGGAGAGCCCCCACCAGCGAGGCGGTGCCTCATCCGCAGCCTAGGGAAGTGGTGTCATTCACTGACTTCCACAAGCGCGGGCTCAGGATCCCGGCGTTCGACTTCCTCCGTGGCTTCCTCTAGGAGTATGGGGTCCAGCTGTAGCACCTCCCTCCTAATGTGGTGTTGCAGCTGGCAGGCTTCGTCATCGTGTGTGAGGTCTTTTCGGGGATTGCCCCTAACAAGGATCTATTTTGGAGGGTTTTCGAGGTGAAAACCTGCAAGGCGCATGGTTCGGACGGCAACATTCTTGCCCCCATGGGCGGGATGAACCCGTAGATGCACCAGGGAGTCTCTCGTAGTTATCCGTGCCTACCGCTAAAGACTTTGAATTCCAGCTGGCACAACCATTGGTTCTACGTCTGGGACAATATCACCGCCCC